CTTTTTCCTCCAACAACTGCTGTAATTTCTCTTCTCGTTCTTCTTGTTTCTTTTGCTGCCATCAAATCTGCTAAGCTGTAGTTTGATTTGCCGCCTCTCGTTTCCATATTCTTCTTCTTCTTTTTTTTTTCTGTCTCACTCTCTGACACCAATTTGTTACGCCTCTAGTCGTTAGTTAATTTTCCGTAAATTCTTTCCGACTAAACTTTAGCGACACAAGTCCTTTCTTAAATAAAACTGGTTTATTCTTTCCGAATACAACTTTACGATACACTTAATTTCAACAGTCGCTCTATAACAAACGCTATAACTCACGTCTCACGTGGCCAACAATATTCTGTCCGCATACATTAAGTTACTCATTACCTCCCCGTCACTTCGTGGCCGGTCTTATATATACAAGACTACACTATATCTAGATAAAAAGATAAAATAATGTATGACATCACTGGTGTTCTTTATTATCTCTAATTATTCTGAATGACACCCTGCTAAGTGACTATTCTCCAGATGGGATTAAAGAAGGTCCAATGGCACGTTAAGTTCTCTCCCGAAGATCAGTGATGATGGCATGTTGCCAGTAGCTTCATGTATTGCTGTTCAGTAACTCATTAGTAACAGTGGAAGTCCTGATCCCACATATTTTGATGTTCATACATATAAATGGCTAATTAATTTAAAAGTGTACATTTGTATCTCTTTACCATTCCATCAGAAGATGGATGAAAGACTGCTGTCCTGATCTTTTCAACTCTAGGGATCTGACACATTTCCACAAACAAGTCTGATTTAAAGTTCTTCCTCAATCTGAATGAAGTTCCATAGGCACCCCAAATCTTGAAACAATTCATTAACGAGATGCCTTGCTAGAGTTTCTGCTTCCTGGTCAAGAACAACATGTGTTTGTAACCATTTGGTGAAATAGTTCATTACAACCCAAATATATGTTATTGTGGGTTTATAAGCAAAGCACCTCGCTACTGATAATTGTAAACTTACCTTTTGACCAGATGTAAACTTAGATCAGTTTACTTTATGTGAATGGAAACATTTTTCATCAAAAGGGAAAATAAATTAGATAAATGTTCACATTTCCAAAAGGCTGTAAAACCCTTTTAGAGACTCAATTTTAATGATGCATTGAAATCTATGATGAAATATGAACAGCTTTAGTAAAACCGTTGACAACAACATTGACAAATATTCACAAAAAACTCGTACATCTTCTAGGACCACAGTAATAATTTGTAAGTATTGTGATCAAAACAAGCTCCCTAAATAGATCAAAACTAAACATTAACTGAGTAAGTAATGTAGCTAATTTAATTTACCAGTCGAACTCCAAGAATATGCAATGTCATTAAACAAAAACAGTTGGATACCATTACTTTAGCAATAATGCCAGAAATATCTCATGATGTTTAGAAGATCTACTTCAATTATGATAACACAACTGCTTTCACTGACATTCAATAAGTAAAGATTCAAAGCATTTCTAGCTTCTAAATTATATTAATTTACTGTTAACCTGTCTTCTTGACCAGTACATTGGAGGATTTAAAACAGCAAGGTTCAGAAAAAGTAAACAGTTATTTTGACCTTTATATAATAAATGTTGGATGGCCTGGTTGGTAAGGTGCTCGACTTGTAATCTGAGGGCCATGGATTCCAATCCCTGTCACTGAACATGCTTGCCCTTTAGGGATGCTTGTTAAGGCTAGCTACTAGAGTGTAAAAATAACAATACCTGAGCAGCCAACTCCAAATCTAGATAGGATTTATGTTGAAATGAAGAAGAAGACAATAAATGTTAGATAAAATGGTTGATAGCGCGTTGAATATTACCGTAATCATCTTGTTTGAGGTAGCAGGCTAGTTGGTGGTCTGATTTCTGTTTGAGTTTTTGTAAGTAGTCCAGTTCTTGATATTTGGAATTCAGGGCTGCTTTTTAGGAGTTTTTTTGCATGTTTTGGATAATACCTGAAAACTGATGACAAAACCTTATCGAAACATTGTACATTTGCTGTTATGTGAAACTCATATTAAAGTTTTTCTTCATTACACATTCAAGCCGTCTCGAACCATTATTAGTCTCAAAGTGGGTTCCTCGTCATCGAATTTGAAAACGAAAATGTTAGATGTTAATATAGGTTGTTCTTTTTCACACACACACATGTGTATATGTACATACAAACACATAATAATAGATTCTTTTTTAATGGTAAGGATTAGAGAGCTTCAAGATCTGTTTTAATTAGTACAGCTTAAGTATAAATTTAATTTCTCAGAAGTTAAGCTTAGTGACTAGCATAAAAAGGTCCCCAGTGGCTCAGCAGTAAGCCTGAAGACTTATAGCACTATAAACAGAGTTGTCATACCCATGGTGGACAGAACACGGCTCATACTGTAGCTTTGCGCTTAACAACAAACCAACCTAAAACATCTTGACATTAGTACGAATAAAGATAATTTCAAAATTTTTCTTGTGCCGTTTTATCCGTGATGAAAATGTAAGCACAAAAACTGGTTTAAAGAACATAAATAAATAATCCTATAAATATTCTCTAGTTGTACTTATCACATAAAAGAATGGTCATAATTTGCTTGTTTTTACAACTGTAGCTGGTTACGTTATTATTAGACCAAAATGAAATATATATATATATATAGTGTACTTTTTTAAAATTAATTTATAATATATATTTTTGTATGATTGATTAACTGTTGAAAATTTTGTACAAAATTAAGATGCTTTCAATTTTTTGGTATCCTTGTAAATTTTTCATGTGTAAATGTAATTTATTAAAACTGTTATACTTTTAAAAAATATGTTGTTTGACAGGTTTTGATATTGTAATTTTTTGTAGAGTATGGCTGTGTAATAATTTTTTTCACATTGTTAAACACTTTATTACTAATAAACTATTGTGTTTTCTAATCACAATATTGCTGAATCCAGTAATAATAAAAGAATTCTTAGCAGTGACGTTCTTAAAATCCGTTCACTGTACAGATACTGAAAAATTATATATATGAAACATGTAATGTAGATAATACAGACAATATTTTCAGTATTGATTATCTGATCAGTGGGATTAAGTTACAACAGGTAATTTGTATGTGTAAAATTTGTTGTTGATTTTAGTTGAAGTTTGAGTACCACATTTGTTTAGAAAATAAAAAAATACATATATTTTAATAATATGTACACCCTAAAAATGGGTAGGTAGACTGCTTTATTTGGAGAACCAATATTAGTAAATACTAGTGTTTCTTATGTGAAGCAAGTACAAATAAAATATAGTTTTAAATGTTAAGACTTGAATGAAAGTTTGAACAATTTATATGCATGTAATGTTATTGTGTAGTTAAGACAACAAAAATTAAACTATTTTAGAGTGTAATCTGAAAGTATTTCAAAAAAATGTAAATTAAACTTATATTGTCAACAAAGTACGAATAACTGATCTTGATTTAGTAACATACAGAAAAAGTTGTAAAACAAATTTAATACTGCCGTTTTGAAAACGATATTTCAATAAAAAGTAAACTAACTACATTAAAAGCTATAATTTTACATATTCCATGATCATCACTGTGTGGTATTCTCAGACAAACTGATTTCTGCACAAGTATAGGATAGGACTTCCAATAAACCAGGGTTGAACAGGAAGTGAGCTGAGTTATTTGAATCTGAAAACTTGACTGAGTTTTTAATGAGAAATAAACAGATTGGACCCGTTTGAAGGACAGTAAAGACAATCTTTATTACACACATAATAAAGTTTGGGTACCTGCACATACAAGTAGACGATCACTTTTCTGGATCAGTAACTAGATCTTCAGCTTTTGTTTTCTTGAGTCGTATCTCTGCAGACCCAGTCACGATATAAGCCACGTAGAAATGATGTTTTAGGCTTATATGAAACCTGTTTGTTTGTCTTAAAATTGTGTTATTACATGACCAATCACTCTCTCTCAGCATTCATCAGCCGAGACATGTTGATGTTGT